CAGTGTTATAAACAGTGACATGTAAGACTACTCTTTAACTCGCCCAAAATCGGGCCAGTATTTGCACATTGCCACGTAACTTCTACTGCTTGACTTCAGGGAGCAAGGATCATTATGAAATGAGTCACTAGAGAGGTGCAGATTTTGCAATCAATACTGGCCTACAGACCAGTGAGACAACTGTATAACGATGCATATTGAGTGAAGTGTCCATCCACTCATGAAGGTTGGACAGCTATGTCATGCCTTTGCCATCCAAGGAAGCAAAATTCAGCTCACAGAACCCTGAATAATATGGATCAAAGAGGATTTAGAAGACCCAAGCAGACTGAAAAACAAGTACGTAGTAGAAGTGGTTGAGAACTGTTAAGACATCACTTTGGATAAAAGCCATGAAGCTACCATGAACAATCAGAAACGCTGGAAACAAAGACTCTTAGTCATCCCTGTCAGTGCAAACTCACCTCCTCCTTCTCCTGTATCAAAGCACAATTCAGCCACTCCTACTATATGGAACCATCTGTTTCTTTGATATGTGTAGAGTAACAAATTGGAAGACATTCCTTACAGTTTCCCCTTATAGTTACTAAAATAATTGGTCTTCCCACCCCCAATTTGGAAAGCACATATAAATTTAAATGCCCCACACCACCCACTTCGGCGTCATTTCATCCTGGTCTATTCTGTACAGGAGGGCTCACTTTGTCACAAGCTTTGTTCCCTTTGTAGTACTCACACTAAGCAGCTCTACCCGTATTACAACCGCTGTATGTCGGCATAGCTTGTATCTCACAGATCCATTATGTTTGTGTTGTGCCTTTGCAATGTGTTCCTGTGTCCATTTAGCGCTTGAATATGTCCGTGCAAGAATTTGATAAAACAGCCTTGGCAAGAGGAGACGGTACAGACTAGGCTGTAAATTTGGCACCAGGAAATGTGCTTACATTGCTATTGGTGGCTGATATTTTGTTGCTATTTCGGACCTGATATGTAAATTTATAGGAAGCAAGTAGACGAAAAGAAGAAAAGTGATTATTACTTTTCCGAAAACTATAATTGATTTTTATTTACTGTAGTGGTTATTTGGCTTACAGTGAGTAGCCACTGATGAGGTAATCATTGGCTACCTTTTATTCCGCCCTACATCAATGTGTGGCAATTAAAAGAAGTGTAGCTGGTGACTTGACAAATTCAAGACCAGCAATGTCCTGGCTCACAAATTTGCACGGAAATGTCCTTTTTGATGAGAGAGCAGCCCGCAGCGGCAGTTAAGTCAGTGCTGCATGCGACAAAACTTGGATGTAAGTCAGGATCTGGTCGTGTATTTGATGATTTCTAACCATTAATTCCCACCCAAATTAAGTGCTCTTTTCAGGACATTAGTTTAAGATTGTTTGACTATTTCATGCTGAATTGATCTCTGTCTTTCTCTCTGTCCGCCTGCAGACTCTGATAGCGCAGCATGACGGACACGGTGATGAGCAGCAGCTCGGATCGCTGGGTGTCCAACGACAGGCAGAGGAGCATGCATGCTGGGTAAGCGTGGCTGTCAGAGCATATTTCATATTGTTAATCTTCTCTGTAAGTCTACCAACCCTGTACTCTCCTTTGTTTCACCTGCGTCCGTCTGATGTGTGACACAGTGATAAAGAGCAGTAAGTAGATACACTCCTACTCCACCTCTCTTATCTGCATCATGCGTATCTGCTGTGTAACTGCTCAGAAAGCAGCATAATGTGTGAATGCCATTCATTCATTGTGTTTGCGTCTGTTCGTCATTATTAACATTATTCAGTAACAAAGACCACGCCAGTGAGGATATGAGGAATTAGAATGGTTTATTGCATAATGGATGAAGGTGAACCAAGATAATGTATTGTGGAATGGATGAGGGTCGAGGGATGAAGAATGATGGATGAAGGGTAAGGGTTGGGGATTGAAGGGATAAGAAGAGGCAGGGTGACGGATGCGGGGATAAATCAGGGTCATTGGCGGATGGATGGAGGAGTTTGGAGATGGACTGTGTTAACTGGCGGTGAGAAGATGGGAGGGAACCATAAGGGACTAGAGACTCTGAGTCTCTTCGCCCTCTAAAAAAGGTTAGATCCCCAGTGGTTCCTGTATTTGAACAAGAGAGAGGTTTGGGGGGGAGGATGTGAAAATTGAGTCAAAGAGGGAGTGGACAGATGAGGTGTGCTGAAGTTAGGAAGGCATGGTCTTTGTTCCCAAACCTAGTTATAAAACTTCATAATGTCAAGCATGTATGCAAATGTGTGATTGGATTTAATTTAGTCAAAATCACAGAAGCAGTGTAACCTCAGCTGGAGATTATGTTTGGCTCACAGGGGTAACTGGACCATGCAGCCAGGCCCAGGTCCTGGTCCAGACCTGACAGATGAAGAGAAAGAGATTATAAACAGTGTGATCGCCCGTGCCGAGAAAATGGAGGCCATGGAGCAGGAGAGAATTGGGTGAGGGGTTTGCAAAAACATGCAATGGCTTCACTGATATACACAAAAGCACCTGTTGATACTGATGCATAGATTTGGACCTTGGATAATTAACAGTGACATTTTAAGAAAGATTTCCCCTTGTGCTGCTGCAGGCGTTTGATAAACCGCCTGGACGACATGAAGAAGACTGTGTGCGGGGATGGAATGTCCCGCTGTTTGCTGTGTGGGGAGCAGCTGGGCTCACCTGGGGTCAGCTCAGTGGTGTGTGAGGACTGCAAAAAGGTAGGTAATGAGTCAGACACACTCCTCTGCTGCAATTCATAAAAAAAATGGTGAGAAAAAACACAATAGGTCATGCTCTACGAGCCACACGCTTGTAATAACACCGTAAATGGCGACCAGCTGGAAACCTCTATTTTCTCCCGTCGTGTAGAACATGTGTACCAAGTGTGGTACGCAGTGTAGCAGTCGGCCCCGTGCTGTGTGGCTATGCAAGATCTGCAGAGAACAGCGAGAGGTGAGCGCTTTACACCTGTGAGCAAATACAAAAATGTAATTGTTGGAAATCCTATAACACATAGTATTTCTTCTGTTTTCTCAGGTGTGGAAGAGGTCTGGTGCCTGGTTCTTTAAAGGTTTTCCGAAGCATTTCCTGCCGTCGCCCATGCCATTAACTAAAACAAAAGAGACAGGTGCCCAGGAGGCAGCAGAGCCCCAGGGGCCCCCAGCCTCTGGGCACAGGGAGGCGGTAACCCAGCCACAACCACAAGGTACACACAGCCAAGATCTGCTGCTTCAGCTTCAGTCTGCATTCTGTTTCAGTCGTTATGAATTTAGACTTGCAGGCCCTCATTACCATTTTTGATTGATCTGTTAGATTGTTGTCCCAACAGCTGGTTAACATCAGAGGGATGTAATTACAAATTCAGTTAGTTAGTTAATTCAATGAAGATGGGCCAGACATTTTCAGCAGCCTGTTTAAAATCTTTTCTTATATTTTAGTAATGACAAATCACCTCATCCACAGTGGCCAGCATGCATATTTGCACAGTTTACCAGTCTGTGTATGACCTTTTGTTCATTGCCAAGATCCAGGATACATAAAGGGAAGCTGCTGTAGGTCTCTCCTGGACCGCACCAGGGTAATACGGCTCTGATCGTAAGATGCAATCCGTTGTGCAAATATTGACTTTTTTTTGTGTGTATTTTCAAAAGGGAATAAAACCAATTTTGGACATACAGTACAGTATACAAACAGTATCTAAGCTATCAGCATTTACCACAGCAGACTGATGCTAGGAGTTGATGCTAGGAGATGTGCTGTCAATTTCCATGTTGTGCTACTGACGTCCCTTTTTCAAGTCCACATAACGTTGGCTATTAGCGATTTAAGTAAATCAAGTCAATTTGCAACATTTAAGTTTTTACAAAGCTAGCAACGTAGGCTCACTAGTTTCTCCTCAGAAAGTGCTAAGTAGCTAGCCTAGCTTGATGTTCATTGTTATTTCAATACATGCTGAGTCACTGGCAGCTCCTACACGTTAATTCCCACATTATACAGGAGGTGGTCTAGTTAGCGTTAGCTCAATACTACACAAATACAAAAACAACAATAATACTGTCAGTTAATAATTCACACCCACTGCAGAACACCGATACAGTGTGTGTTATCCCTGCAGAAAATAAATAGGCTGTTTAATGTTCTTCTCTTTATAATTTTGACCGGATAAGTAAAAGACTAAACAATTTTTCAAAGTGCCACCTCTTCAGTCTCATTAGCTCATTGCTCTTTTCCAAACCATCAACCTTTTATCTGCTTCCCAAATTTGGCAGCACCGCCCACTGTTGCAGAGGAGGGGGATGAAGAGCTCAATTAAGCTGTCGGAAGGTGCATGCTGTGACATGAGATGAGCCTCCAGGTGGTGCTGGCATGATGGGTCGCATTTTACCATTTCACACATTTTACTCAGCACGATTACCTGAGCAATGTGATTTCCCCATAAAAGAGAGGGGTAGCTCAGGCAGACATATAGCTGCTGCACGTACAGTAGTCGGCTGCCACGGCTTGTTGTAGTGTATGTAGGTCAATGCCTTTGCAACGAAAAAGCTGCAACATCAAAAGTATCCAGAGAGACTAGGGAGTATTACAGATTCCACTGCATTAGGAGCCTGGAGTGGATCCTTATGCCTATGCGTGTCTCCCTTATGTATAGTGTATCTGTGTGTTTACTGTATTATGCTATATTGTATTATCCCTCTCGCTTTTCTGACCAGAGCCACAGGGCCGTGCTGGTTACCCACCTGTGGCCCCGAAACCATCAGTTGGGCGCATGGCCACGGGCGGGGCTGGCCCTGAAGAGGCGGGGCAGGGCAGCCCAGTGGTGATGAAGAAGATGGTGCCCGTCCAGAGCTCCAGACCACAGCCTGCTGCATCGACCACACTGGCCCATCAGGGTGAGAGAGCGCTAGGGCACAATCCTTTGCTCCAAAAGACCCCCGCATGAACAAATATCGCATCGCCAGTGGTGTTATTAGACTTCAAGTACTAGTCTCAGATGATTGAATGTGGTTGTAGGTCCAGCAGCAGGAGATGGAGGGGCTTACTCCTCTGGTGCAGTTCCTTCAGAGCAGAGAGCGCCTCCCGCAGTAAGAGAGGACAGGAGGCAGCCCGCTGCCTACAGTGCTCCTCCCGCCCGACAGCAACCTCCCCCAGCTGAGGAGGAGGAGGAAACCAACGACTATGACTCTGATGAAGCCAGTGAGTACACCATCTGTGGCTGATGTGTCTAGTTTAATTTCACATCGTGTACGGTTTGACTGATTTCTTTTCACTCATTTCAGGTAAATGGCACCAGATGGAGTGTATTTATTTATTTTTTTCATAATAAAGCAAAACATATTGTCATGCAGCATACAGTATTGAGCGGTGATTACCTTAATTTGGCAACATCTCTGTTGCCCTTAGGGATTCTGAGTCATACCATGCTGATGCTTGATTTCTGCCTTTTAGTCTGCTGGTAATAATTCATATCTATATATTGCTCAATAGTCCTAGCAAACAGCATCATTCTGCCAGCGTCTATTGAGCTGGGTAGAAAATGATAAATGATAAGCACCATTTCTTATCGAAGCATGATAATCAATATCCGAGGAGCTAGAGCAGAAGATGGGAATCAGGTTGTTAATCACTAAATCAATAGTGATACATAAGCTTTGTAATCGTACAGTTTTTTTTCCTCTCCCATACCCCATTTTAACGACGAGAATGGTGCCATGCCATTCATGTTCTGCGCCTGCAGCCTTTATTCTGTCTCAGGGGGTTTGGGTGTTAATTTGTTTTATTGAGGTCCGGGAATATGGAGCTGCGCAAATAATTTGAGATACAACAGGGCTAACAGAATATAGATTCCCCTTGTGTTTGACCCAATCCCCTGTGTTGGGAGTGAAAATGGTAGAAATAGCAATGGTTACGTGTGCCGGTTCTCTATAGAGATGTGAGAACAGCTTGGTCCTGTGGAGCTGACTGATTTCAGTGATTATAACTTCTTCAGTGTTGTTGCAAGAATTTGATATGGTGTTGTATGGTTTAAAAGTACTTTATGCTGTTTTGAATGTGACATAGTTTGATAATAAGGGCTGCCTCCGACTTAAGATTTTCCTAGTCAGCTAGTAGATGTTAGTTAAAGCCAATAGTCAATGCACCTTTATGATATTAACTTATCCGTTGTACGTTGACCTGGCTCCGGTTCTGGTGCTGTGCTGGTTGTCTAAACAACCCCCCCCCCCCCCCCCNNCCCCCCCCCCATCCTTTGAATGTCTCTGTTGCAACAATCCCATGATACTCAAGGCGCAGCTCCCGATCAGAGTTTGACCTAATTTTTTTTCTGTTACTATCCGACTAAGTCAATTAAAGACTCTCAGCGGTTTAGTCGACTGATAATCATTATTTGAAATCTGATCTCATCTCTACAAGTGTCTTTTTTGATATATCACCAATCAAATCTATAAATATATCTCATCATAAAATAAAGGTGGATGAGTTAGAGCTGCGTATTTTTAGCAGTGCAAGTGGCATTTCTATATGTCACTGTGAGCCTGTTTGTCAGTCAGTTGGTCCAGACTAAACTAACACTACTGGATGGATTGCCATGACATTTTGCATAGACATCTGTGGGCTCCTGGGATGATTTTTAAAATCATTTAGCCCCAATCATCAAGCCAAAATTTCACTTTGTTTAATACTTTTTGTCTAAATCCCTGCAAAACGAATGAAATTTAAATCAGCTGTACACTAAATGGTGAAATGGTAGACATTATACCATCAGCAAGTTAGCATTGTCGTTGTGAGCATTTTAGCATCATGCTGATGTTTAGCACATTTAGCTCAGGCACAGCTGTGTAGTGTTACAAGAGCGTTGTGTCTTTGGAGTAGCAAGTTAGTGGTTAAGTTATAGCAGCTATATAAGAAAAATTAACTAATGATATTTGATCATTTTTTCCCCCAACGGCTATGCTAGCAATGAAACTCCTCCAAAGAAAATGTGTGTGGGCAGCACATCAGTCTTTTTCTTTTTTTTCTTACCCAGAACCTTATTTCTGAGTGTCTTCCTTTGAGACTTGAGTGTTTATTTGATTTCTTTTATATTATATGCCCCTGCTTTGTAATGAGATTTTTCTGCTGTTTACTTACCGTAAAAAAGAAGGCTGTGAATGTTTCATGAGTGAAGGTCAAGACTTATTCATAGATTGTTTTGGGGTTTTTTTTTACCATCCTTTTTGTCCATTCTGGTACTTACTCTCACTTCTATTCACAAGTCGAGTGTTGTTTAATTCGAAAGTATTTATACTCTTAGTTTTTCAAAAGCAGACTTGCTGTCTCTCTGTAGTCTAATGTAATGACTGGTCTGGGTCTCTTTCAGCCACTCTGGGCTCTCTAGAGTTCAGTCTGCATTATGAACAGGAAAGCAACAGCCTCCACTGTAGCATCCTCAAAGCAAAGGTACCACTATCCTCCTCATTCTCTCACACAAAGGGACAATTACAATCAAGTGGTTTATGTTAAAATGCTCCTGAATGGCACTTATGCTTAATTGCTCTCTGCTGTGCATGATGATGTGATGGACACGGTGCTCCGTTTCTCCTCAGGGACTGAAGCCCATGGACTCAAATGGACTGGCAGATCCTTATGTCAAGCTTCATCTGCTGCCAGGGGCTAGTAAGGTAAAAGACACCCCTTTTCTACATTAAGCTTTTAATTCTTTTAAAAGATTTATTACCCTAATATCCTGCTAAGCACAAAAGGAAGGGTGGTGATTGTAGATCTCCTTGGTTTGATGAGAGGCCTTTCTGCTAGCTCAAGCCTGACACCTTGTGGTTTGAACTGACAAAATCATTAAAGTGGCACAGGGAGGATGTCTTAAAATAGATATTGATAGATTCTAAATAAAATAAGTGGTTTAGATAAGTTGCAGTGAAGGTACGTTGTTAGCGTAGTGTAATTGTACTGCGTTTTTGGAGAGAATGAAGCAGGTCTCAGCTGGAAAAAACACCTTTTGATGGGAATCAGCATCCTGTAGATACATGCTTTGATAAAAGCACAAACCACAGAGATCTTGTGTAGTGGTAACTTGCCATGGGATATTTACATTTCCCTTTTCCTGATCTACCCCCTCACAGTCTAACAAGCTGCGCACAAAGACCCTGAGAAACACCCGCAACCCTGCGTGGAATGAGACACTCACCTACCACGGCCTGACAGATGAGGACATGCAGCGTAAGACCCTCAGGTGGATACTGTACCTCAGACACTAAATCACTCACTTAGCTGCAACAGCCCTGTACTCATGTTTCAAACTTAATCCTTCCGTAGTTGACTGTATTAAAAGGTGCAACAGGTCTGTATGATTAAGATTCTCTTTTGATTTCCACAGGCTGTCTGTCTGTGATGAAGATAAGTTCGGGCATAATGAGTTTATTGGGGAAACCCGAGTGGCGCTGAAGAAATTGAAGATGAACCAGAAGAAAAACTTCAACGTGTGCCTCGAGAGGGTTGTCCCTGTGAGTGAAACTCAATTACATTCAAACAATGCTTTGTTCTCCTTGTCTGAATTTCTTATTGACCCGCTGTAATCTCATTCGCCCCTCGCAGACGAAGAGAACTGCAACAGCTGGTGGAGCCAGGGGCATCGCTCTCTACGAAGATGAGGCAATGCTTTTATTTCCAAGCACGTCTAAACATGACAGATTTCCCCCAAAGTTCCCACAAATCTTATCATGGATAACACTGAGCTATTTTTTTTACCCCTTTTGCTCTCTTAGCCAGGGAAAGAAGGCGGGGAGGTGGAGGAGCGCGGCCGCATTCTGATGTCGCTCATGTACAACACCCAGACGAACCGTCTCGTTGTGGGCGTCGTGCGCTGCGTTCACCTGGCTGCCATGGATGCTAATGGCTACTCTGACCCATATGTCAAAATGTAGGTAGAGCAGGATGACAAGCACATTTAGACTGTGAATGCATGACCCTAGAAATGACAAAACTAACTTCTATACAATTCACAGATGTCTGAAACCTGACATGGGGAAGAAGGCCAAGTGCAAAACACAAATCAAGAAGAGGACTTTAAACCCAGAGTTTAATGAGGTTTGTAAGAGAGTTCAAGGTGAACATTACATTACATACAGCAGTAATCTATGTTGGAAACATTTCAGAAATGTTTCCATTACATAGTCTTATCTTATCATTACTCTCTCATATGTTTCTGTAAATACATGTGCATAAGCTATAAGTAAAAAAGGAAAACAGTACAAAACAAAATAAAACTTACATAAAGAAAGACAACAACACAGAGATAGACTGGAATAAAGACTTCATCACATTCATTGATCTCCTTCAGATGACATTGGTGGGGAGGCTATGTCCAGGCTATGTAAATAATGGTCCTAAGTCCATTATTTACACCCTTAAAGGTCCAGTGTGTAACATTTAGGGCTAAGTGTAACGTTGAATATATTCATAACTATTTTTCATTAGCACTTGAAAATATGAAGCGTGACGTTTGTGGTACCTTAGAACGAGACGTTTTATCTACACTGCGGGTCGCCTTCCATGGAGGCCGCAATGTTGAACCGCTGTGTTTCTACAGTAGGCCAGAATGGACAAACCAGACACTGTCACTACGGCCAATTTTCTTGTGTTTTGTGGCCACCGTAGTTTCTTCTCTGTTCTTGGAGGGGAAGAGTTAAGTGAGGGAGTTGCAATCTGCAGCTACACAATAACTAGCACAACTAAACAATTCATAAAATGAAATAGTTTGATTCGATGGCACTAAAATATTGTATCCATGTAGCCCAATATGAAATATGAATATGAATATGAAATCTGCTTACTTGTAGGCTTAGAGAAAAGGTTTCCTTCCTAATTTATTTTACATTTATTTTATAGTTTTCTTACTTTAAATATTTGAAACAATTATTTATGTCTTAGTAAGTAAAAATGAACTCATCCCAAAATTAGCCTATCCAATGTCTCGATCAAATTTCAGGAATTCAGCTATGACATCAAACACAGTGAACTGGCCAAGAAGACCTTAGATATCTCTGTGTGGGATTACGATATCGGGAAGTCCAACGACTACATCGGTAAATATTTAATCAAGCATTGCCGACCCTTTATGAGATAAAACTGAAATTCTCACCTGCTCACCACTTGCCTTTCACATCTCACTTCCTTCCTAACAGGTGGGTGTCAGCTGGGTATCACTGCCAAAGGAGAGCGGCTGAAGCACTGGTATGAGTGCTTGAAGAACAAGGACAAGAAGATTGAGCGCTGGCACACCTTGTATAACGAGAATCACGTTGCTAGTGATTAACCACTCCCCCGTGCAGCATGAGTTAAAACCCCCCCTTCAGACTTGGTTTGCATTCATCTCCTAATGCACCCCCCCCATTTTATTGTTTTATCTATACTTTATCACACAGACTTACTCACCTCCTTTCCCCTGATGTAGTTTTTGTAGTATATCTCTTCTTTCCTGTCCTCTTATTAACAATTTCTCTGCCTGTGCTGACACTTAATCTGCCTCTGGGACAAATCATGGCCTAAACGAATTAGAGATTTTACTAGACATCTGTCAACAAACAGATGCACAAGGACCATTATGCCTGTCAGTGGTGTTATGTAGTGTGCTTAACATTCTTTGCTAGAGAAAATGAAGTTTGAATTGCACTGGCACAGGACGAGAAAAGCAATATGTTACGGCATCTGAGGTCAAAACTATCGTTAAAATCCTCGACGGAGCTCATGCCTGAAATTCATTAGACTGTCAGGGTATTTTAGTTTTATTTTCTCGTGTGATTACATCATGCTGTAGTGTAACACTTGAACTGTATAAGCATGCCAAGCCACAGACAGAAGAAAACACGCAGCTGCGCCTTCAAATATTTCAACTGTGCCCACTGTCCTGAACATATTGTATATTTCCATGAAGAAATGTTTACATACTGATACATTGCTCAGGTTAGGATAGACATCTGATGTGCAGATGATTCATAAGTCAGTGGACCATGAGCTAGATGAATCTTTCAACAGTTAAGTAATGTTAATTTGTGATTTAAAATTATAGCACACCTAGTTAAACATTAGGAGTTTTTATGTATGGATAGTTAAGCTGTGAATTTTGATTTGTGGGAAGTATTAACTGTGATTAGAGAAACAGAACTTTTTGTTAGTTACGGTGAGAATTGGCAGGAAAAAAGGGTTTTTCCTCCTGCTACCTCGACTCTTCTGAAGCTTGTGGTTCACTCTGACACCTCAGAGGTTTTCTAGTGTTTACACTGAACGCACATGGCCAGGTCTCTTGCAGGCCCCCCGAACAAAATGTGGCTGCTCCACTTAACAAGGAGAGAAGGTGGAACAGCTTATGTCATAAGTATGTGCAGCTTTACCTGCATGCACTGTGCTCGTGACTCTGGTGTGCCTGGGGCAGTCGTGGCCCGCTTTTACCCCAACGCACCCTTTGCACAAAGCAGGGCTCTTTCCCCTCTGCCACACCCCAATCATTCAAGGCTTTAGTGTGTGTTTGTTCACTAATCACAGCAAACCAAGGAAAGCACACCTTACAAAGTGGAATGACCTCAATTTATACAGCTGTTTGCAAGTTATTCCAATGTCAAAACAAAGACGAAAACAAAAAATCCTATGCATGAAATGTCTTGTGGTTCAAGATATATATACTTTGTAAGAAATTAATGCTATTGTAATTCCATTAATGTTTACACTTCTTCCCCATAACATTCCTGTTAATACTTTATATACAAGAGGCCATATTCTGCATGACTATGGCGGCTATGTAATCTGAATAATCTGGTCTGATAGCATCCACAGGATAAACTGATAATCAACTGAGCACATCAACAAAAAACTATTCAACTCTATCAGTAGCAGATATTGAGATAAATCTTTCTGTACATACGCATTCAAATCAGTGATTCAGACACCCACCTGTAGCATCACACACTATCCTATGTTGTGGTATTTCAGCTACAGCGATCACTAGATGATGATCAACATGAATTATAATCAATAGGGTTCTTTTTTTTTTCTCAAAACAGGCTTCTCTGAGCTAAACCCATAGCTGTCTTCTACTTGATTCTGCCAGTTCAGTGGAATGTTTCTTGGTTTATCTCTGTATTTGTACATAGATAGTGCATGCACTGGAAATATGTATGTTTGCAAATAACTTTGCATGTAAAGATTTTGCAGAGAGTTTACACAGATCAATAAAATCTAATGAAAACTGACAAGCTCCATGTGTGTGAGGACTTATTAGAGTTGAGGTATGACCATCACAGAAGATGAAATCAGTGCCAACATAAGCATTGACTAGTCTCCCTGGATATACAATCATACACACTCATACACACACATCATTTTCAACAGACCTTAAACCACACAGAAAATTATAAATCAATCACAATTCTTCAAGAATTCATAGAAACCTTTATTTCTTCATCAATAGTTCAAAGTAAATAGTACTTATTAAACATAAATCATTGTATGAAGGAGCTTCTTAAATCATCAATTTATCCATTCTGTGCTTTTACACATCTAATTCCAAGATAATAGGATTTTAAATACCTTTCATGTTCTCTGCTAAGGAGGACTTCTTCTTAGTTTAAACACACAAACTATGAAAAAAAATATTATATGAGCAAAAACAGCAATGTAATAAAAACAAGTAATATGTTGGATGTTATTATAATGTGGATTGTGTTTAACAGCTTTTTAAAATAACATGTATAGCCACTGTAAGTCTGAATACAAACAATATCTTAAATCAGAATTTTTAGTTTATTTAGCCACACCTTTTTGCTCATGGTTGTCCCATCTCTCAACACCTGCCGGAAACTCCAACAGGTTGAGACAGGTCTGCAGCTTTATTACTAAATTCTTGGGGAGATGCAGGTAGTTTCTTTAAAATTACAGGTTAAAAAAATGCACAGAATCAGATACACACACTCTGAGACGGTCTGGGCACTGATTAGTTTGTTTTAACTGTTTCTATCTTTCAAAATCCTAGACAATGCCGTTCTTGCGTAAAAGCTATAGAAATTAACCATAAAACCGTGCCCTGTGTGGGTCAGGCCACACACCCACACACCCACTCATACAAACCGACAAAACCAAGGAGTGTCGTATTTCTGACGAGCCTCCATAAAGGCAGTTCAATAAGAAACCCGTTCACCCCAGAGGCACACATGCCATCCTCAAGCAGAGACAGACGCATTTAAACCAGCTGGTGCAGAAACACACAGATGCTTCAAAGAATCTGGAATAAATTCGCCCATTTTAACCCTTAAATTTTAACTGGATTGATTATACATCCACTCCACAGTGAGATGCAAAGCAGATACTCTCTACAACTTCTTTTCGCCTTATCATCGCTCATTTTATCAATAGCACGAGATGTGATCGGATCAGGTCACTCCTGTCTCACATCTAGTCCTGCAGACGACGGACTGACGCGCGTCTCATTTCTGCGAGAGGACGCAGCGGGCGCGCACTCCCTGTACCTCAGCCTGTGGTCCGAAGACATGCGCCCAGTAACCTGCGAAGTGAATACCGACCCACTGGTCACGGAAAGATACCTTGGCCTTTGCGGCAGAAGCGGCACGCAGGGTGGAGAAATCCCCCAGAGGTTCAATATCAGCATGCTGTTGGCTCCGGATGCGCCCTGCGCGCTCGTCTCCTCCAGCGCGCCAGAGCTGACCAGGCGCAGAAGAAGTGATGGGACGGAGGCAAAATCTCGGAGGAAACGGTCTTGGATATTTCCCGGGACGCTGTGGTGCGGCACTGGAAGCAAAGCGGTCGGATACGACCAGTTAGGTGAGATTGGTAAACTAAAATGTTATTTTATTATTTTGCATATTTTCCAACCGCTACAGGACACTTTAACACATTTTCATGCATAGCCACTGTAGATGGCACTAGAGGAAGTCTGGGCCCTCTGAAAGAATGTAAAACACAGACCTAAGGGGGGTTTTTAGGGGCCCTACCAGCTGTAACGTTACATCCCTGAAATCCACCTCTAACTTCAGCAGCACTTCCCTAGACATACTGTAGATCAATAGGACATACAATTATAAGAAGGTTTTTATTGTACATTTATTATACAGTAACTGCACTCCACTGCAGTGAGTACAATACTGCAGTCCTCATAAGCACATTAGAAAAATATCACTTACATTTTACATGAGATAAAACCAGTAATCCATGTGACATTATATAGTAGATAGAATATATAAAGAGAACTTTTATTAAAATGTTTTATTGAATTTAATTCAATTGAACTGAACTGTGTTGATATAAAATATAACATCAGACATTTTTGGGACATTAATGCAATAATGTTAAATTAAGTGGAGCTGATGGCTACAGTCAGTTATTGCACACAATTCAAGAGGAATGAGAATGAAGTTAAATTTATAGCATGAGAAAGTTTGTTGGACATTTATTCGGTAGTAACATCAGAAAGATGTGCCTCAGTAGGTTCTTTGAATTAAAGATCTTGGTTTTACAGCCCATACATTTTAAACTGTCTTTGAAGTTTTTTTATTTTAAATCAGAGTGATTTCTGCTTCAAGACTTGCTTCCATGCAAACTGCCCCTTGATATATGACCGAATTCAAACCTTGTCGTCCTGCACAGGCATGTTTGAGAGTACGGATAGATGCTGCCGAGAGCACGACCACTGCCTTCATGTCATCCCAGCTTTTACTAGGAATTATGGAGTCTTCAACTCCAAATTCTTCACCGTCTCACACTGTGACTGTGACCAAAGGTGAGCCTCGGCATTTGCACCCTGGGGATCGAACACTGAGTCGGGTTTCTAAGTATTTACCAACTCTAGGGAAACTCCTGCAACCAGTAACGCACACCTCCCCCTTGATCTGTCCCCGTAATGCTCTGGCTATAGCACGGACGATCAAGTAAGGACAGACCGGCTCCAAGGGTGAATGTGTGTGTGTGAGTGTTGAATAATGTTTAAACCTCACACCTCCTGTTAATGAAAGCATGCTCCTCTCTGGAATGCTATAATTTTGTCATTACGCCAATAAATGCAAACCGATTTAAGTAGAAGAACCTGGGGACAAACCATATGATAGAATTATTCATCGAAGAGAAATAAATACACAACTGGAATCAGCCCTCCAGATACATTTAATGTCAAGAGTGAACACGCTGCTCTCTTTTTTGGTGTTTGCAGGGCATTCCATTGCCACTACATTATCTAGTGCTGACAGGTGCACGTGTAATTTGCTCCCCCTTTAAACTCTCATTATTCCTCCACAAGTGACTGACAAAAATTTTAAGAATTCACCTCTGAGCTAAAACTTTATCTGTCCTTATAAACTGTTTGGACGACAAAACCAGGCAGCATTTAACCCACCACGTGTGTGATCGTCTTGACTGGACTGTTGCTTGACCTTGGCTTGTTCTTTTCCTGCCTCTCACCAGGTTTCGGCAGTGCCTCCTTGGTGCGAATGATACCATTGCCAGTATGGTGGGTTACAGCTTCTTCAGCATCCTGCAGGTTCCCTGCTTTGAGCTCGAAGAGCAGAGGCGATGCACTGAGATGTACTGGTGGGGAATGTGAGTAATGTAATTTAACTGCGCATTGTCAAGCACAACAGTCTAAGTGCAGACCATAAAACAAGACTTTTGTCCAGTGGAAAGTGCAGGTATGGATACATGGGAAGCTAAATCAGCACAACAACACTGCGGCTTGTAATAACATGCCTGTAACTCTGCCAAACCTCATAAAATCAAGGAAGGCACCATGCCACTTCTACAGCTCCATTCTGTTTCCACAACTTTATCTATTAAGTTACTAATAAGTGCATACAAACAAGAAGTGATTAATGGTTAACCTCTACACTGATAGTATTGCAATGACAACTTATAATGTAATAACTATAATTTAAGATGGGCCTTCTTCATTTCTACTGTGCTACTGTAATTATCTTGCAAGAAAAGTACAAATCACAAGTGCTTGAAATATGAATGTTGAAAATAGAGTGTAAACTGTTTTTGAAAGAGGCTCTTTTTTTCCATGGCTTGGTTTTTAACATGCCTGTTTACTCTCTATAGGTGTAAAGTAGCCAATAAAGCGCCATATGCCGTCTTCAAAAGCCCTCTCCCTTTCAACACCACTGATGTTACAAGCCAATCTGGGCACAACGCTAATAGCAACTTAAAAAGTAGTGCGGGGCAGCGTGTAACCGAAAGCCCTGTGATGAGCACAGAGTCACCCAAACATGAACACGGATGTAGTTACAAAGACTCACCCAGAGGTGACATTTTCTACCGCAGAAGGACAAAGGGGAAAGGATGTAAAAGACACTGGAAACTGTATACAGCAGCCTCCCAGATTCCCCCAATGTCAAGGGTTCACGCCACTACTCCTTCAAATGAGACTAGTCTTGTACATGCTTCTAAAAGTAGTGCATCGATGTCAAATAAAAAGAGAGCTGGAAGAAGGAAGAACAAAAGAAAGGGCCTGTCAGCTCGACCCACACAGAGAAGCCACGTTCCACCACAGGTGAGCACAAGCTCTATTCCACAAAATCTGACAACAAAGGAGCCAACACTTCAACTACACCTACCAACAGCCATCACCGCCGTGACCAAAACCACCAAAAGGCGTAAAAAAGTTTCCAAAAAAGGTCACTGTTGTGGATTCAGGATGCCTCTGAGGGGCGACACTTTTCAGCCTCATTGTAAAAGTTGTCGAGAGCGAAACATGACAACTGTTACCCCCTCAACAACCGCATCTGGATTACCGATCAAAGTGACATCCCTTGATACGCTGAAGCTAAAAAAGACAACAAAAAAAACACCCAAACAAGACAAGCTGAAACCACTCTGGAGTACGGCTACTTCTGCAGCGCCGGCCACAACAAGACTAAAGACAACAGCCTCCAATCATAAGGTCGGCAAGCCACAAATGCAGTCCCATCTACTACTGAATAACACAAGCCAGGAGCCCATGAGTAGAACCAAAGCCTCAAACACACACACAGACCGAGGCCTGAAACCAAATGTTGCACTGCATAAAGTGACAGGTGAGTGTATGCGGCCGCTGACCACATCACCTCTGCCGGGGCTCTTTGCAACCTCTCTCTTCAGTAACTAAATTTATTGTTGACGTCCCATTAAGCACTTAGTACCATTTGAGATGAAACTGTTTAAATCCATCAAAATTAGATTTATAATATAAATTCTGCATTTAATTATAAATGAAAAATGTAAAAAACTATGTATTCATGAATTACAAACATTTTATAAATGACAAAAAGAGTAAAATATCACAATTAAAACTACTTATTATTATTATTATTATTATTATTATTATTATTATTAATAGTATTATTAATAGTATTATCAAGTGAGCAATGCTGCCACTGTGGAAAGGTGATGATAAGGGCTCTAGTTATGCCCCCTACAGGTCAGACAGAATGCTAGTTATCTCTGTTATCATAGTGTAGAGCGTAACAGCAGTAGGCGAATAAATTCCTCAGTTATCTAAAGAAATGTGGATGCACTAAGATCATTTGCGACATAACCTGTGTTTATTTTTGCTACTGCAGACAGTCTGCCCTTGTGTGGAAGCCTCAAACATCTTGACGGATGTAAATACAAAATCCCTCCTTTGGAGAAGAAGTACGATCTGCAGAACATGGAGTCAAAGACTGCCTACCACTGTGATTGCACCAGCCGGTAACAGCATTACTGTCCCCATTTCCCCTCATATTTGTATATTTGCATATGCACCTATGCAAGATTATTTTCTTTTCAGAATTTATAATCATTCAAAGACATGCCAGGGGCCTGTTTCACAAAAAATGATACCTGCAGAACTGCACTGAGTAGTAGCCTGGAACATTATCTAGTATCTATCTATTAGGCTTTGTGTTTTACTCAGACAAATTGTTCTTATTAGACAGCCCACTGTTCTACTGCTCCACTGCTGTAAAACCGGGGTAGATATAGAACATTTATTTAATTTTTTGACAGTTACAGAACATTTAAATAAAATTCCAACTTCAAATTCCCTGTGTTTTGGCCACAATATCAATATCTCAACATAACATTATTCTCACTAGTGGAAATCACGAACATAGTCCACTGAGGCCTTGCACAGCTTTTTATGCAGTCCAGACTAAAAGCTATTACCCCAGTAATCCATAATGGCTGCGTTTTGCATTCCTGAGCTACTTCAAGGTCCGACCTGCAGCTTGCAGTGAGATGAAGTAACCACAGCAACTTTGAGCTAAATGAGAAGTCGTGTAGAAGGTCTTAGTGTCTTTTGTTAAGGATCTTAGTGTGGTGGCGCCATTGGACTTAGTTCTAAAGCTGTTTCCAGCAGTGTCCAGTTTCTACATCAATAAGGGGAGTACAGAGTAATAATAAACTGCAGGTATAGTAGCCAAAAATATGACAATAGGACCAGGGTCATAAAATAACTGATATTTCATATATAATTAATGATGGCTTTGTTTAATCAAGTGTCCCAGTAAGCTGCGTCAGTGAACCAGTATGCCCAATAAGCCTTTTTCACACCAGATATTTTGACATGTCACAGTAGGAAGAGCTGCAGTTCAATGGCATGACTTATGAGAACCGTTGAAGGGTGGGTTCATCATTTTATTAGTTTGTATTATAATCTGGTGCCCACATGAACAGTGAAACAGGTTTAGCTTGTTGTAATAATTCCTCCTGTTCATACTGGCCACTAAGACATCTCTTCCCAATGTGCTTTTAATGTAAGTCATGGTGCGAGGAATGATTACAGCAAGCAAGACCTGTTTTATTGTTCATATCGGTACCTGAACTAGTGTGAAAACTGTGAACCTATCCTTTAAATGGAACTGAGCCATGAAACAAGTTACACTTCTCTGCTGCCCAATTACGGTTTTAATGTAGATGGTGAAACAGCTTAGTCAGGATTATGAGGGCACTTCATCACGTTTTCTCCACTGGAAGAGCAGAGGGCACTTAATCATGTTTTCTCCACTGCTACTACAGTATGACAAGTCAGAATGGGTGGTTAAAATTGGGCAACCTGGTACCACATATCAGGTTTAAGACCCCCAGGCCCTTTGCTATGTGTCGCGTAATGCCAAAAAAAAAGGGAATAACATCTACAAACTGAAGCTACTAATTCATCCATCATTGATATTATTAATTACACCTGTGTATTTCCTTTTATAACATGTCTACTGTGAAAAAGGCCTTTTACAATCCTATGTTTTCAATTTTACAATTTTAGTGATGTTTACATCTGATTTCGCATTGTGACTGACTGTAGTCAACACTCACACTTAGGCTACAGCAGCACATGTATGGTGAGATTACAGTTATAAGAAAGGAGGAAGGCCTGCCCCCACAGGCAGCTTTCTCTTTCTTTGTCTTCGTCTCTCTGAGTCACTCACAAATGCGTGTACATCACACTCTATTGTTTTATTCCTGCTGTGTTTCCCACTTGATTTTCTGTACGTGAGGATGTAAATGGCTTCTGCCTGTCTCTCTGTCAATTTTACAGCTTGGCTGTTCAGATCGAAAGCTTCAAGCAACCCAGTACTCTCCCCATGGTACTGATGGATTTCGTCTCTCAGTACTGCTTCAGACTGCCAGAGGAGAGAAACTGCCACAGCAGAAAAAGGTTTTAAGCTCTGATACGCTCATTCATGTTAATTTCAAGACAACTTTTAGTTACAGAAGTGCCAGACTCCTTTCTAATGTGTTAACTCAGTTTTCTTGTGTAACAGATCATTCAGTAGGGTTTCTGTTTCTGATATGTTTTTATGTGTTTCTTTTCTAGCTGTTCTAGAGGCTTCAGTAAAGCTTCTGACCTACTTCGAGCCCTTAAGAAGATAGAGGAAAAAGACACTGCTGGGGTGCGAAATTCAGTCAATGACAGAAAGAGAGGGATTCCTGTTCGCCTTTATAAGCGATGCCTAAGGCTGGAAAGAGGAGCTGATATTATGGCACAACTCACACGATTATAGACTAAGCTACTATGAGCAGCAACAATGAATTTCATGAGCTTTACGTTTCATGCAGCGTTTTCTGTTTCTCTCTGAGGCTGTAAAATGGCAGCAAATTGAAAATATTCAAGTACTCAAACCCCTCAAACGTTATATTAGTAAGTAGGCCAAAGATAAAAACATATTCATAAAGAACTGTAATAGAAAACTGCAAACCATTAGACTGTGCATTGGAAATTTAATAAAATCATTTATTTTTTGTTTCTGTTTGTATCTAGTAATTGATTTAAAATCATGTTTCATTAATGAATTCTACTATCTGCACTGAATATTGATTAAGAAAGGAAAATAATTAGATCTACTCCACGCTGCTTTCCAAAACAACCCACACAGCCTGCCAGTTATCATAATGAATAATTAAAGTTTACAAATATAGGGATGATTATTCATTACTGGAAACAAACATTTGCTTGTTATACCTTTTAGTGTAGTGTGATCTTCACTTACCTCTTATTTTGTAATACACAGATGAATCCGGTTCAATGTGCCTGCCCTCTGCCATTTTATGTCATAAACTTACAGTCTGTTCTGATAGGCTGCAGACCTGAATTTGATAAGATTTACTCCCAGGGATTCTTATCTGATAAGATTTTGTTATTGTATAACTGCCTGTACTGTGGCAGATTAACAGTGAAGAGTGTGAACCGTGGGGGTTGGGACTCCAACTAGGTGTTGCCAAAGCTTCATGAGGGGTCACAAGGCCTTCTTGATTTTAAGGTGTGTTAGAAAACTTTAAAAATATATACAGTAGAGCTATAACTCAGCATTTGGTTGACTTCTGTTAAGTTAAGTAAATATTCTAATAGAAAAATGGCCAAGCACAGAAAAGAAAACAGATTTGGACAAAAAATAAGTATTTTGAGTCTGTATGATTATTAAATATTTTAAAAAAACACAATACTGCCAAAGTATTGTATAAAAAGTACTCTAAACTGCTATAATCTGCTCAAAATCCATCCAAATCACTTGTCTACACAATCTTCTTGCAGTCAGAGTTCACTATTTGGGTTCATTGTACAGTTTTGAATATAAATATCCATAAAATATGTCACTTAATCAGAGGTAGTCAAATTTTTGTTTACCAAATGATAGAAAAGGCGTCCATTTAAGGCAAAATGTTGGAAACCACTGTTTAGTCGATTAAATAATAGGCTAGTGAAATGAAAATAAATTTAAATATTTTTCTGGGGACCCCCTCAAGGGCTCCCGGACCCCTCTAAACTGCACAATAATCACCCCTTGTCTACAGAAGCGTATTGCATTCACTTGAAATAAAAAAACACTTTTTTTTTTTCCCCCCCTGTTTTTCTGACTAATTTTTTCCCTGTTTTTCTGAGTAATTCTTTTTCTGTTTTTCGGAGTAATTTTTTTCTGAATTATCGAGATACTTCGAACTCCTGCGAGAACCTCCAACC